GTCGTAATGAGTAAGGTATAGAGTCGTAATGTCGTAAGGTGTAGAGTTTGTCAGGATGACTTGTTAGTTTAGTGATAGAGACGTCGAAGGACTCGTGACGCTGGAAGAAAAAAGCCCGTCGGTCACGCGAGGCCCGGCGGTCTTTCTCTGTAATGAGAGCAGCTCACGCACACGCACGACGGAAGTGCGGGCGATATATTCATTGCCAAGTTGAAGGACGAAGAAAACCTTGTAATATTAATTTATATTAGGTAGTGTATTATACTTGACACTACATTCAGAAAAATGAATGGGTCAAATTGTCCGAATAGTGACACACTTTCTGCATGTAGCACTGATACATCCTTTTTCCAGGGAAAACTGGGTCAGGATGGCCCACGCAAGTGCAAATTGTGCGTCGCTATTTGGACAAAGCCTCTCAAATTTATATTACTTTTGCTTCTAAAGAAGCGGCTTCTGTTTTTGAAAAAAGAATGTGCTTGTAACTATTTTTTCTCAGAATATCTTCCGGAAAAAATACATTGAAATATTTGTTGGTCCCAGCCAAATTTCACCAACTCCTAAATGCTTTTCTCAAGTTCAATACAGCATAATCATTCATCAGTTTCACGACCAAGTTAAATGCAGAAAAAAATAACAACATTTAACAAGGTGCAGCTGCGATCTCTTATTTTATGGGAGCCGTATTACAATTTTACTTCCGAGCACGTCTTTTTATAGCAATCAAAAAGAGCTTACGAGAAAGGCAATGCGTGACGCGTATCAAGGCGCGTTCGCGGTAAAGGTTAAGTGCAATCTCTGACTTGCTGGCGACGACTGTACTCGTATATGATCTTATGCATTTTACATGCCCACTGAGGACTTGAGTTTATATGATCTTATGCATTTTACAGGCCCACAGAGGACTTGAGTTTATATGATCTTATGCATTTTACGGGCCCACCGAGGACTTGAGTTTATATGATCTTACGCATTTTACAGGCCCACAGAGGACTTGAGTTTATATGATCTTATGCATTTTACGGGCCCACAGAGGACTTGAGTTTATATGATCTTCTGCATTTTACAGGACCACAGAGGACTTGAGTTTATATGATCTTACGCATTTTACGGGCCCACAGAGGACTTGAATTCCTATACAATGTACATTGACTTTGAAAATTTTACTTCCGACTTTTGCTATTAACTTCCAAATTTGTGTCACGAAATTCCCGTGTTAAAATCTCTCTCTCTATACCTAAAACTATTTTTTGAGGGAGAGAGTTTTTACTTCAATAATGTATCGATTCATTATCAAACGCTCATTAATATTTAGAACCATTTTGATCTTCAGATGCGCAAAGTTGATAGAAATAAACCAAAACTTTTCTCGATCCGTGCAAACGCAATGATGGAGCCATCGCCAAATTATATACCACAGAGTTATTATTATCGCGTTTTGACCAACATTGCACACATCCTTTGGTTGCGATAAGAACCTAAATTATTTATCGCTTGACCAAGGTCCAATTAAGGAGCACAGCCACTAGCGCTGTTCTCATTTTAATGGATGGGATTTATTTGGTTCTCACATAGAAATCTGAATGAATTATTTATAATTAAACTCCGCGGAAAAAAAAATTTTCACAGCGACCGTGATATATATCGATTGTATTCTACTAACACAACACCATTTTTCTTGTATATTTAGTCGGCTGACCTAATGAATTTTTCAGTTAAACAGGAAATTGCCATTTATTCGTCTGACCGAATTAACCTTTCAGTTAAACAGGAAATTACCAAGTTAACTTGAGATGATGATCTCGATATCGTCACGCAGTCGTACGAGGGGCATAGTTCCACTTCCCCAGTAATATATAATATGCCAATAATTAACATGCCTCGTATGTGAATTAAGTTCCCAACCCCCCAAAATTTATATTTTTCAGGTTCAGCAATATCGTTTGTTTTAATTCACTAAATTATTGCTAATTTTCAGGACATGTGGGTATCACATTCCGGTCATTTTAATTTATGACATCATTCATCTCATTATTTATTAATGGTTGCGTATTGGACCAAATAAATTGATATGTACTTAATGTTCTATCTGAATTTTTCAATGACAAAGGTAGTAAACCTTCAAATGTTATTTAAAATATAGTAATAATAATATCGATAAGATACAAAATTGTCAGGTATAAGAACAGACCAATATTAATTTCGTTTCTTTGACATGGCAAATAAAATTAGTTACCGTTCTCAGATTTATATTTTTATGATATAGTAAAAATAAAATCAATAGTTACTGGGCCACTATTTTCGTTGTCGAGTTTTTCATTAACTCCATATACTTAGAAGTGTAGAGGTTCAGAATGTTAGGTCACAACAAGCGAGTATAGCTCATATTAGCGCAATCCCAAGATTTGCATAATTCTAAGTTGCTTTGCCGCCAGATATAACTACATTATCATACAAGGAATAGTACTTACAATATTCCATGCAGGGTATGTATTTTATATATAATATTCAATTTTATTTATGCTCATGAATTGCAAACGGTCAAACAAGACCCAAGATTTGCATAATTCTATGTTGCTTTGCCGCTTGATATAACTACATACCGTACAAAGAATATTACTTAAAATATTCCTTGTAGGATACGCATTTTATATATAATATTCCATTTTATTTAAGCTCATGAATTGCAAACGGTCAAACAAAAGCGAGTCAGCGTCATGATGGTCTCATCTGGCGCGCATCTTCACTCGCTCGACCACGAAGAAAAATTTATGGGGGATAGCCACGCATATTCTGCTGAGTCATGAACAAATGCGAGTCTTCCTCTAATGTCTCTATTACTTAACAGATAAATTCTTATTCTTGAACGCAAAGAAAGCTATAGGGGAAGATTGATGACCAGGGACATGCAAGTTTCTCATGCATCTATGAGCGAAGTCGTGCTCAAAAGAAGATGATTTTGTGAGCCGGCAGTCAATAATCTGTCAAAAAGAAGCGTTACTCGGCCATTATTGAGTTTATGAAACTCAGATTTTGTAATGTCAATGCGGGAAATTTATAGTTTTTATGTACATTTATATTGATTTACAAGTACATCAATATTTCCAACGCGATCTGTCAGAAGAGTTGGAGGCTGAGAAGAGTTAGAAGCAATTTAGCGTTGACCGCAAAACAGCGTTAGAATCAGTTAAGCATTAGTAGCAGTGAAGCAATTAAACATTATTAGTAAAGCAGCAATTACTAGTAGAGAATCAGTTAGAAGTAGAGAAGCAATTAGTAGTAGAGAAGCAATTAGAAGTAGAGAAGCAATTAGAAGTAGAGAAGCAATTAGTAGTAGAGAAGCAATTAGAAGTAGAGAAGCAATTAGAAGTAGAAAGCAATTAGTAGTAGAGAAGCAATCAGTAGCAGAGAAGCAATTAGAAGTGGAGAAGCAATTAGAAGCAGAGAAGCAATTAAACATTAGTAGTAGAATAGAGTGAGAAGAAATTGAGCGTTGAGAGCACATTCTATATATCGAAATTTCATACCCGTTTACTGCTGGGAAAAGTTCCCAATATTGCCAATGAGAACGGCGATACAACTGAAACACCTAGGCGAATGAAAAACCGAAACAACTGAATTATATTGTAATACTATTCATGGATATTCTTTATCAAGTTCGAGCATTCAAATATGAAATTTACCTTCAGATCTTTTGTGCCAACACGGTATTCAAACTTTAATAAATTGGATAATTCTAATACTTTAGAGATTGTTAATAATTGAATTTTACTTCATTGTTCCTCGTACTTCTTATCATCAATCATATTCATTCTCCTTACTCTAAATTCTTCGCATTGCTAGCTAAGCAAAGACTTCACTTCAACACACTATAGTGTGTTGAAGATGCTATAGCATCGAAATTAAACACTCTCGCTTTACATTCTGTAATCTTTTAATTTTTAATTAGTGTAATACTATTAATAGCTAATACCACAGTATTCAACGAGTTTATTTCTGCATTATAATTGTATTGGTCATGCTAATGAACAATTTAATTTTCTCACTATTTCGTCAGGAGCCTCTGCCACGGAATTATGCAGGGCCAAACCCAAGTGAAGTTAAACGAATTTAACGCAAAACACGAGCATTGAATGAATTCGCTACCCAGCATTATGTAGCTCACCACAACCGCGTCGTTCAGACAATAAACTTGGTTTTCCCAGGGCTAACTGTGCGACTTTATTCCCATGAATTCCCACGAATACCACAGAATGCTTTATTCTCTGAGGATTTGAACGCTGTAAATGATACAATATCCTCGTATATCAGAGTAAACGTCATTTAAGGTGAGCCAATTGAAATCATATTACCCATTCGACAAAACTTGACTGCTACGTTAGCGGTTACAGCTGTGCTTTACTTACCACGTTGAATAAACACTTGGCAGATTGATTGTTACTTTTTAAATCCTGTCACAAGCTTCGTTTGGGAAGCAACATAACTTCCAAATTAAACATACGCTCTAAAAATTAATTTAGCTCATTTCAAATTATTTTGCTAACACTAAAAAATAATTTTTAACATACCGAAGAAAAATTCGTCGTTAATGAAAGCAGGGAGGAGACAAACGAAACCCAACGTTGAAGTTTTATGTATTATAAGTGAGATGTTCATTAAAAGAGAGGCCTACTGAATTTTACTCAAACATGTGTGATGCTCTCAGTGAAATATATATTACTTTATATTAGTCAGAGAAAATTTAAACGGAAATGTTTTCATTTCAACACTAGTTAATAAATTATAACGAATAATTAATCATAGCATAATAGGTCATCTCATTATACCCCATTTCAGTTAGGCTGAAGGTAGTCTACTTGCAGCGCTATCCTTAGCATATGTTACTTGAATTCATGTTGATGCTAACTTGCACGGTCCACAATTCACTGAAATTAAGCTTGGATGGTTAGTCTGAAAGAATTTCCGTTTGAATAACTTCAGTGTGAATTTTTTCTTGACAGATGCAAGTGGTAATAGCGGTGCTGTGTCTGGCGCTAGGCTGCCACGGCGCGGCGATGGCGGGACGCTATCAGCCCAAGTTCGAGTACAGCAGCGGCGAGAACGGCCATCAGTACATCAGCTACAACTACGGCTCTAATGGCGTGTATAAGTTCTCATACCAGCTCAAGGACCAGAGCAGATATGAGGAACGCGATGAGGACGGAGAAGTGAGAATGGTACTTCACGTTTTCGTCGACGAGAAAATGCGCTCTCTGTCACTCACTGCAGTGAGTACTGAGTTATATTTTATTCTTACTAACTAATTTTAGAAACCTTTATTTTCCTTCAAACTAAGGAATCTCTTTTAGTTTTTTGTATGCTTTGGGTGAATTTGTAAATTTATGATATTTATTGATTTAAAATTATGTTGGATTAGTCTCCAAATTTGGTCAGATAATGCAGTCAGATAATGGTCAGAGAATGCAGTGGACAGTACGCACCATTAAGTCGTTATTCTTGACCTCTAGTCATGTCGGAAAATAACGAAGAAAAATGTCAAAATTGTTAACTTCTTAACAAATAATGTGTTTAGTAAATTTCCAATTTCATGGCTTTAAGTCAAGCCTGCTTGAACTGAATATTATGTATTATTTTAAGAGAACGTTGTCTTTTCTTTCGGGGGCAACAAAATACCGTCAGTCGCAGATAAAAGTGAAAAAGACAGTCTCTAACAAATTGTTGTTTACAGCAACAAGTTTACCCTGTGTCATGCAAGTGACTGGGTGGCGATACACTCGATAAGCTTGTTTTGGATTATCTGAAGGAATATAGAGTGGGTTCATTTAGTCCAACATGAAAAACTGCTCGGACGTGTCACTTCTGCAACGCACGCGTGACATGAGTGACGCATGTCACTCATAACTTAACATTTCGGCAGTTGTGACACGTAACTAAATACTGTGCAGCGTTTTCACATTCTACAAGTAACTCTGGCTAGAAAATTTAGATCCTGACTTGCGGTTTTAAAGTAAAAAGCTATCGAATAATACGTTTTTAAATCCTGGAATTTACTATCTCATCGCGTTTGTTACAGTTTAGGAAAACGTAAACGATATTACTTGATTGAATTAACCGACACAATATTGGAATAATAATGTTAATTAGCTGGAAGCAAGACTTGTGTATGTACGCTGTCTGAAATGAATTAATTTATTGCAATCACTTGTAATATTCTGTCAACTCACGAGCCTCTATAGCAACGAAAGCCTCAGGACCGAATACAGCAACGAATATATCAACTAATATATTAACAATTTAAATTCTACATAACCACTAAATGAGGAATAAATTGAAAACCATTATTCTGTATAATTATTTCAGTGGGCATTGTAATACCAATTTTTCATGAGTTCCCTTAATTAAAACTTTTTTGTGCTGTGTAGGTGGTGTTCCAGGAGTCGCCCTTTAAGCCAAATTAACGCCATTAAATTAACCGGTATTGTACAAATGTATTTCAATAGTTTTCGTAATATCAATACATTCGACAATTAGTTCCTATTAATCTATGGAGAATTTGGCGCCAAAAAATCCCATCCCGTAATTTTCTTGCTCGTCCTTCGTGAGTAACGGTAATTGCTCTAATTTCCGTAAAGAATTTTTGCGGTCAAAATCTATCAATTTGCCCGGCGGTGATTAATGGGCCAGACTTAGAGCGCGCCCAGTGCCATTGTTCCATTGAAGGCGATGAATTGGTCCGATGGCTATCAGTTGAAGTCGGATGCCGTTAATGAAGATCGTATAAATGAAATATTTATAGCCATGGTATTTATGTGATTCTATGATTAATTTTGAATGGCAATCCTGAAACACGATTTTAACAAGTGACATTAAGTCAATAATGATCCTTTCAATGATTGCAAGGAACCTGAAATTGTGTTTCGCGAAAAAGTAGATTTCGAGCTAAATTAAGTTAATTGCACTCTCTGATGGTCTCGAGTTTTCTAATTCGTTTCAATCTCTAACTTTCAGTCTGGCAAGTAGCTCTAAGTTTAAACAATTGACGTTCTTCAATTTCCGAAAATGTATCCCTTAATTAATTATCATTTTGCTTCATTGACTTAATATGATTCTAAATATTTTTCCTGTGGATATAAAGCTATATAGTGTTTTTTTCTTTGTTGTGTAATAATATGTGTATATTATCGTTATTTTTCCTTTGGATATAAAGTTCTATAGTGGTTTTTTTCTTTGTTGTATAACAATATATGCATATTATCGTAGGCTCCCGAGGAGACTGAAGACGTGAAGGAGGCGCGCGAGGCCTTCAAGAATTTCTACGAGGAGACTGTCAAGTACCTAGAGGCTCTCTCATCTGGCGAGGGCGGTGACCGTGGCAGGGAAAACCTAAATGAAAAGGAAGAAGAAAGCGACGAAGATGAAGAGGATTCATCCAGTGAAGAAGATGAGAATACTGGTGACGAAGAGGAAGGCAGCAGTGAAGAAAACGACGAAGGAAACGAAGAAGAGAGCAGCGAAGAAGAGAACGGCGAAGAAAGTGACGTTGAAGTAGGAAAAGCTGTGAGCCCTCAAAGCTCGAGTAGGATCTACGACAATAAGAAGAAAACTGATAATAAAACAAAAAGCTCTCCGAAACTTGAAAAAAGCAATAGAGGCAGCGGGAAATATAAGGCAGGAAACTAATCGTTAACGAATATCAGAGAAGGGTGTTTGTACGAAATTGATTATCCCAACAAGAGATATCAATATCATAATTCTATTTTTATTTTGTTATGAAGCTTCCATTTGCCTTTAAAAACACTTTCTGTATGTGGGAATGATGAAACAAATTTGCAGAAATCATCTACAAGCTAAGATAATTTGAGTTACAACAAACCACTACATGTGTTTAACATCATTTCAAAATTGTGCATCTATAACGATAGTTATAGATGCACTTTTATAGATGCCTTTGCAACTAAAAATGCATATTGCATTTCTGGAAGCTTTCAAACTATGCAGTATCGCTTCACTCCAACAATTAAAAATAGGAATACATCATCAATGATTACTGATTCCATAATTTCGATTCGTACTAAATTTGTTGTCGTGCTCCCCCAATTTCTTTCCAACAACACAGAATTTGAATATGTAGCCTCCGCACAGAGCAGCTTAAACTTGTCAATTGTCATTCATGCAGCTTCGGTATAATATTGCATAACAATTACCTAATACATCGCTTCAAGTTTCACGATGCATAAATTCAATTTAAAAAAATTTTTCGGACGTCTATGCATAATCCAGTTCAATTGGAGCAGTGTATAATGTCCAAATCTACGAAAAAAATCTGTGTGCGATAATCCAACGTTTGTAAAATATCTTGCATATTGAATGATCCGCTAATTCATTCTCGGAAATACCGGATTAAGTGAAGCGAATATTGTTAGTACACAACGCTTTAAAATTGTCACTACTCGTGTAGTTAATTTAAAATTCTCATCCACCAGTTTTTCATTAATATTTAACTCATTTTTATATGCCAGCTGAGAACTCAAGTTTCAAAGTGTCACCATGTATCTGTACTTATGTATATAGTAATTTATTCTAAACTATTTCTTTGTCGTTAGTTAATATAAAAATATATGTGTTTAAGCAATGGTAAATAAATAGTAGTATGGAAGACATATTAATATCCAAGAAGTATTTTTAAAATCAAAGAATATTCTAGTGGAAACCCTAAGTCATAATTAAATTCTGTGCGTCACGCGTAAAAATCAATGCTCGTGGAAGGTGAAAATTTTTCCAAAAGTATGAATTGAAAATATTATGTTTATTAACAAGGTGAAAAATGCACGAAAATATCAGCTCGATATTGATAAAGCCTAATGAAACAAATAAGAAAAATAGTCTACCATATTTAACGGATAACTGCCAGTGATGGAAGCATTGAGTTATTTACACGGCCATTACGAGTCCCGCATTTCGTGACCTCAACTGACTTCTGACACGCAGAGCGCTCTGCTGGAATGCAGTTCATGCGCGTCAAGCACTACAGGGAAATCCTATAGATATTCGGTCCATAGATGCACGTTAATTTATGCAGTATCAATTGGAAAGAATGAAAATTAATAATTTTAAATAAATAAATTTGCAATTAATATTATTTAATGTGGATACAAAATGAAAATCAATTTGGCGGAAAGCAGGAAAGGAAGGAAACGACTGAAAAAAATTAAGAATAGGTTCAAAAATTACCAATAGTTTGATCAGCTTCGGCAACTTGGAGCAATTCTCCACTTTAGTTCGCGCTACTCGTATTGGTATTTGATTTTTTTAATTTGGCTGTCCTGTGTGATATAGTCTTATGGCACAGTCTTATATAGTCTTATGCATGCTATTGTCTTACCTGAATTCCGGTAAAAAGTTTTAGAAAAAGTCAAGTATCATTAAAAGAAAAATTACCTCAGGAAAATATTGAAAGAAAAATTTGTGTTACAGGAAAGATTTGCAATGCATAATGATTGTCGTGAACTTTACTGGGAATTCATGTGTTAAAACGTTATTTTTTATCCTTCCCATGCATTAAATTACGAATAGTTGACCGGGTCTCTCGACGGGGTCAAAAATGTGATTCTGGTCAACTCAGCGATGCTTTTAAAAGACAGCAATTCTTCATTAATAAATAGTAAGACCATTTAAGGCTGGAAGAAAATAGGCAATAATATTGTTCACTGATGCACAAGAAAAGACACATTGATAGCCTGAATATCTTAAGAGGAGGAAGGACTCAGGATATGAAGTTGTCCCTCACATTTATAAGGGAAAACTGCCGTGGCCATTGCAAGTAGATTAAACTATTTTATATAAGTTATTTTATTTAGATGTGAGTCGTAATAGTCAATCCAAAATAAGCAATCCTCTTATTCCTTATTTGAAACATACTTGTTAGTATGACGTTATGGACAGACGAATTTTTGTAAGCCAAACGAAAGATGGAAATATAAAGAAGCCATAGGTCATACGATATAGCATTCGTTGCCAAGCTCGCTCATGGATTGACAAAAGGGAATGCATTGTTTTGACCAATTATAATTTTAGTGTTCAATTCCTCAAGTAATTTGTGAGCTTCAAAAGTAGGTGCTACAATTTGAGTGAATGATAGGCAAGTTCGTGGATTTTTCTCAAGTAAAGTTATTAACTAACAACTCAAACGTTGCGATGGAATACTAAGTGGAAAAATTCCGAAGATCTGCAATACAAATGCTTGAACGCAGTAGAGTGTAAACTACAATGAAGTTCAATCAGCTGTTCACCAAAGGTATACAAAATTTATTTAAGTGAGATTTAACGCGACGTATCGTTAAGAGACAAGCATAATATTACTTCGCTGTAAAACATCAGGCTGGGCTACGCGAAAAATTGAATGTTTGGGACTTTTCCTAGCAGCTGGTCGCAGACCAACAGTCGCGTGATGATAGCTTACATGAAGGCCAAGGTCTTAAGCTTGAAACACGTTGCTCGTGAAAATTCCTTATCACAATGACCTGGAATGGAAGCAGGCAAAAGTGAGTAAACATGAGAGCAACCAAATAGCCTTCGTGAAAATTCCTTATCACAATGACCTGGAGTGGAAGCAGCCAAAAGTTAGTAAACATGAGAGAAACCAAATATCCTGAAGTGAAAATTCCTCATCACAATGACCTGGAATTTAAGCAGGCAAAAGTGAGTAAACATGAGAGAAACCAAATATCCTGAAGTGAAAATTCCTTATCACAATGACCTGGAATAGATAAAGGCAAAAGTGAGTAAACATGAGAGCAACCAAATAGCCTGGAGTGCGACACGCGCAGCTTCTGATGCTGCCGGATCAGAGGCTGGTGGGCATTTATCAGACGCACGACTATCCTGGGGGTAGTAACCACTGCCCCCATTGTCGGAGCTCGCAAAAAGAAGGTTCAATCGAAATTTTTCTATCGACGTCAGCGTGGACTCCAATCAAAAAAATTTTAGTCGTAACGTTCGTTTTAAATTGTTCAAAGCATTACTTTAAGTAAGGTTTCAATAGGCTCTTGACAATTGATTGGATGAACAGATTTATAGATTAATTTTTTCTGGTTGATAAAATTAATGAAATTTTACCATTATTTTAATTAATTTTACCACTAGCACCTATGGCCATGTTTTATTATTTGACTATAATTCGATTAACTATAACACTCAGCCTTTTAACCATTTGAGGGCCATAACACGGCACGTCGCTCACCAGGCGAATGATTGACCACCAGATCTCCTTGATTGATATTAATTACTCTCTTACATAGTGATAGTGACTGTTGAAGAGGATGTGCCGGTGATTAACACGCCACAGTGAACTGCAAATGTATTTCGTCGCCAGGGCAGGACTCATTGGGCGTCTCATGGACTAATAAACCTGCAGTTGTGATTATTTCTTCAATATATAAATTAAGTGTGATTTTTCAGCGAACGGAACTTTTTGTTTTCAGCGCAAGTTATAGCAAAGCCGCTCTTAAAAATGAGAATTTTTAACATGTATAATCATATAGAAAGGAATACAAGCGGATTGTTTTGTTCCATTCTCGCTTAAATGTGGCATGTCGACATTCAAGAAGCAATCTTATGTGATGGAGTAAACATGATAACTAATATTTCGATATGATAAAAAATAACTAATCCGTAAATTTGCTAACCATCTATGAAAATGAGCAGTAACTATGCGTTTATTTTTGCCTGAAAAATAGAGAATTCCACGGAAGTTACAAGTAAATATTTAAACCATATAAAGTTTAAACAATCTACATTTTCATTTGCCGACTCATATGAACGATAAACACAGTTAGAACCTCCCTACTGAAGGCGGTCTGAAGTCCCTGTAGCGACGAGAACAAAACTCTGTACTGAATTTCCGTCATTTTAATTGTGTTCAACCGTCATTTTAATTGTGTTCAACGGCAGCGCTGGCCTGTCATGATGAACTGTATTCGACGTCCGCTGCTCAGCGAGTGCCAAATGAAAGGTTTTCTGGATTGTCAGTAATCGATCGCCATCACCAACAGCCACGACATGATCGTAGACTTGCCGTTCAAGGTAATCTGATGCGTGGATTACTTCCGATTGTATATATCTATATTCTACATTCATGAAAATTTCAAGAATTATTGCTCCCATTTTATTCCTTCTAATAGGTTTATGAAAAAGTGCACATAATTCCACAAAACGAAAGATTATAGAAAAAAAATAATTTTTATACTGTGCCGGTGTTTGCGACGCGAAGAGTAAGTTCAGAACTAAGTTTAAATTCAATTATTTGTCATTTTTTATGAGCCTTCAATTATCACAATCCGGCTATTTTGGATGATCTCTTGTTAGAGATAGACCATGATTTTATTGACATTCTTGCAGTTGTTGATCACATCATTCTTAATCATCGATCAGGTGAAATTTTTTCAATTTCGACATGAAGGAGATCATTTTTGCACTGATTGTGGTGTTCTCTGAACACGAGCTCTACATTTAATACATTTTTATTCATTAATTTATTTTTTGTGTGTGTTTCTGTTGCAAAGAAAAAGTGCTAATTAGCATATTATTATAGACAATTCATATGTAATGTGTTAGCAGCTGTAGTTACATTATGCAGAAGGAAATTTGGACCTCAAGCAAAAAAAAATCAGGCTGCATCAAATTTTTCTGGAGAATTTCAGTCTCCTCTTCACATGCGAAGAATGATGAAATCCTCAGATATTTAATTAACTCAATTGTGGTTATAGGTGGTAAACTCCACGGTGATATATTAATAGCTGACTCGTTTTGGTGCAAGGAAAATAAAAATGTAGACATTGAGAAAATGTTTAAAAAGATCTCCATTACCCGAAAAAATGCCGTAAAGATCGTCTATAACAGAACTGATGAAAAGTGAAATTTAAACGTTTAGTGTGGTTCAGCAGCACCGATGGCCGTCGTCGGAGGTCATTGAGGCACTTGTATTGAGTGGTAGGCCTGTAAAAAAATGCTCTATGCGGTGAATACTTCCCGGCAATGGTGAAATTTTGAATGAAGGTAATGATTGTATGGAACATAATGATTGTACAGCTGCTATCATGCAGTTACTAACGATGCATATGATTATTTACAAGTTCCATTTAAAAATTGCACAATAAGTCATAATTCTTCATTATTGTAAGAATTTATGGGCCAATTTAAACAATAACAGGTTTACATACCCCAATATTGCTTTTTGATTTTAAGTGCAAATGAAGTGGGAGACTTTTCGAATGATTATACCTGTATGAAGACACTTTCGTCGTGTAGTCGATGTCATTACAACTTGTAAGCCAAGTAAGGACGGACGTCAAAGATTTTCATTCACAATGTTTACAAGTCAACCAATTCCTGCGATAATGCATAGATTAGTTTTTTTGAGCAGATAATATATTAATTACAGCGAATCTTTCGTGAATTAGGAAATAAGTGCCTGTAGGTTTAGGCCTCTCTGCCAACTTCTTTACTCTACCTCAACACTGTCCGTTTCTCTGTCGTTGGTATGATAATGATTTCATATGATATTTATTCGAAGATTTTATATATTATTCCATTAACATTTACTGATCAAATGACGAAGCGCAAGCGGGCAAAATTGAAGTCAGAGAACGTCAGAGATAC